CTCACTCAGAAGCTGAACTACAACGCCTGATAGACCGCTTTGCTAAAGCTGATTCTGATTAGAAAGGCGTCAACAACTCTGTCTAGATTGTCGCAAAGAGTGTGGAACAACAGCAAGCTGACATTGAACACTAAGATCTCCGTGTACGGTGCCTGCGTGCTTAGCACTCTCCTGTACGCCAGCTAAACTTGCACCCTGTGCGCCTCTCAGGAGAAACGACTGAGTGCCTTTTACATGCGTTGTCTCCGTCGCATACTCGGGATCACCTGGAGCGATCGTGTGACACAACGAGGTGCTTCAACAGGCCAAAATTCCCAGCATGGTCACACTCCTCCGCCAACATCACATCAGATGGCTGGGCCATGTGCGTTGAATGTATGATGGACGCATCCCCAAAGACCTTCTCTACTCTAAGCTTGCCTCAGGCAGAAGATCAATCTAACGGCCACATCTTCGCTTCAAGGATGTCTGCAAGCAGGATATGAAAGCTCTTGGGTGTCACGGAATTGTATAAATATTTTTTCTTAAGTAAACGTACTCGGGTTTCGCTTTTAGTGTACAATGATACCCAAGGGTGATCAATGTATATTCCACATTTCGAAAATAGTGAGTTCGGTTCTTCCTTGCTCGGCACGTGCGAAGTGCTTCAGGCTGGAGAAACCGAATACATGAATTACACAGACGATGTTGAGCTACATTGTGTATATATGATTCAAACTGGAACGAAAATAACACATTACGAACCGTTTTGTCGATGAGAGGTCTACTGAGAGACCTGCATATCTCCAGCTGTAGAGAGCTGTGTTGGTGTTGCAGTGCTGTGGTGGTGCAGTGGTTTGCTATTCTGTCTGTGTTTGTGTTTGTGCCGGGTGCAGCAGTTTGTGCCGTGTGCAGCTGTCTGTACTATGAGGGCGTATGCTGTGTTGTGCTGCTGTGTCGTGCCGTACAGCAGTGTAGAGCTACGTGTGCAGTGCTGAGGGGTGCTGTGCTTGTGTATTCGAGGGCTTCGAATATTTCAACGTTGCTAGTCGGGTTGAGGTTGATCAAGCGTGGCGGACCAACGTGGTGGATGCTGATAGTCTAACCCAGGAATCGATAGTGGTCAGGTGACTACAAATCTTTGCTTGTTTGTCTAGTGGAACTGGTAGCAAAGAGTTAAGGGAGTATTTACATTGCTCCAGATATATATTTTGGCCGTTGGCTAATGTAGGTTTTTTGTAATACCCAGTCTTTGCTATTGTGTGGATATTGTGATTAAAATTATGAATCCGTTATTTTGAACGAACTATCATTTGTTTTGCTATCATGAGTAAAACTATCAATTTGTTATTTTGAACGAAAATATAATTTGTATTACTATTGTGAATTCATATTTCTGTTCTTTATATACCGGGAATCGTTTTTTCTTTTTTTTGTCTTGGTACCGTATTTGTTGCTGATTATATTAATTAGTCCCATATTGGGACCCATTCACGCACGTATCTATCATACTTCATTTGATATTTTCATATAATATTAAAGATATAGTATTGTATTCCCATCAATGGTGTTTTGTTATCAATCCGAAAATCCCAAACTCGGTTATCTTGTTACATTGGGATCGAGGTCAACACCTGGGAAGAGCTTGCCCTCGACCTCGACATGTCCAGCTGGCGACATGCTCTGTTCACAGGTCTGAAAGCCAGCGAGGAAAAGTGAAGACAGCTCGCCGATGAGAAAATATCTCAGAGGAAGAAGATGCAGTTCCAACCAAGACCTGACTCAAACTTCAAGCAACATAGCAACTGTAGCAAGGATTGCCACTCCCGTGTGGAGCTTTATAGTCACAGAAGACAATGCACAACTACAAACTGGGACACCTTTCATGGGCGCATTTCTATCGTCTCTCGAGACTAACGGAAGCCAACCAACCAACCAACCAAAATATACCATTCCTATGCTTCTGTGGCAATGCCATTTTGTATCTCCTGTTATGTTTACTAATTTTCATTCACGGCAAATGAATTGCACACATGCCGTAAAAAGCTTATACAGCTGCAACGATAATGTACTCGTGCTGTATGCCATTGGTACAGCCGCGGGAACAAGTGAATTTGCGTACATATGATGTATATTATTCAATTATTCATATACATGCACATCAAATGAATTTAATATAAGCTGTATTTTATTTGTAAAGTTGTCGCAAATGAATTGAGCGTATTCAGCCGCCAAAATGGTTTGTACATAAGATTTGTCCTAATTCACATATAGCCGCGATATATCAATAGCATGCAAGCTGTATGCTATTCACATATACCTGCAGCAAATAAATTGTACATATGCTATACGCTATTCATTTACATCCGCAGGTAGACCAGTCCTAACACTAACCTCCTAATGCTAAGCGCCAAGCTAGGCAGCTGTTAGTGACAATTTTGGTAAGACTCGGCTGGGTTTCGAACCCGCTACCTCCAGCATCCGAGGTAGACGCTCTAACCACTAGGCCACCGGAGAGGTCAGAAAATATTTAATATGTTACATTTAATAATATAATATCGTGAATTAGCCATCATAAGGAAATAAGACAAGTGACTCTGTCTAAATTGTCCAGTTGTCATAGACATCGGTCTAATTTTTTGTTTACAAAAGTAAGCAATTTTAGGCATTTTATTAATTGTTAGTGATCTCCTATTCATCTGCAATATGGTTCCAAGAAATCACTATCAAAATGAATAGTGCAAGCCTGTCTGTTTTTATACCGTTTCTAGAGATATAATATTCGTTCATTCTTTAATATGGGTTCTGACGAAGTTTTCAAAACATATGCCAACCACTTTAAAGATTAGTTACATCATTTCTGTCTTTACTGATGCAATAAAACTTTGAGAAACCTTTTTTGTAAGTTTTGTGCCTCAAAACTTGTCTAATGTACGTTAATTTTAGTTAAAGCGCTAAAGTGACAAGTTTCTAAAGACAGCTGTGAGATGCGTATGTCATTATGGTTCTGCTGCTTTTAAATATATTATTCCATTACAGATTTAAATTAAAATCTAAGAACCGTCAATGGAAATAAAACGTAAATAATAAATGTGAAATTTATGTATACAAAACAATACATTATTTTTATTAGCATTATCGTAATAAATTGAATCTGATGAATACTATTAGAATTCACAAGCTAATGTTTAACGGTGATTCGTTTTCATACTATATCTTTTGTGTTTTACATTGTTTTACCAATATTTACCGGCTAGTGTCACAATGGACCAATTGGTTTCTTTTAACTGCACAACAGTAAATAAATCAGCATATCATATGAAAACTCCGAGTGAAGCTTCGAATAACACGGTTTTGGAACATCTCGTTTGCAATACGAATATTGCAAGTGCTTGTGGGCGTCAGGCCAATGACATACGTAAATATGTAACGGTGTTTTAGACAACTTTCTTGGGCGTACAATAATGGGAGATTACACTTGTTCTTAACGTATAATAAGAAAATCTTCATCAATTTATGGGAACGTTTGGTCATCTGATATTGCTCTAATCAAATTAAAGCCATACGGGTAAAATAACCTCAATAATTCTACTGAAATAATGCCACCTATATGGAGGTCATATTCCATAACATTGCAATTGGTATTTGAGAAATGGAATACAAACATATCATTTATCCGAATTAATTGCGAGTGTTCAATTGATGCCACCATTACCAAATGCACTGTACCTTTTTATGTCGCAGCTCACGCTGGCAACAAAATAGCGCCTTATTCAACTGCTTCCGCTCGTATCGAAAAACGCTTTTAAATATAAGAGAATAAGGTAATATTTAATATTACCACACGTACATAGTGTAATGCTGTATGGAATATCAATACCAATATGTGGCGGGTATATTGCAAATTGGACATTAATCACAAAATCTCTTTGTCATTTGACTGATAATTATCAGTGTATTTGTCATATGTCCAACAGCAGGAAGTTATTAATTATTGGGTTTGCATACGTTTAAAAAATAAAATATAATCTCTAGCCCAGTCTCTTCGAATTAGACCGCATGATCTAAAAGCCTAGTTACTAGATCTTGACCACAGACCACATTATCTACACCATGAGGGCCCCATAACGGCATTTTCGATGGCCCTATATCATTTTGCGGGCCACAGGATACGGCTTAGACCCCTAGAACTCTATCACATACCAAATAATCTACAGGCGTAACTCCTACAATCATGTCACATACCAAATAATCTACAGGCGTAATACCTAGAACTCTTATCACATACCAAATAATCTACAGGCGTAACTCCTACAATCATGTCACATACCAAATAATCTACAGGCGTAATACCTAGAACTCTATCACATACCAAATAATCTACAGGCGTAACTCCTACAATCATGTCACATACCAAATAATCTACAGGCGTAATACCTAGAACTCTATCACAGATCAAATAATCTACAGGCGTGACTCCTACAATTGTCACAAACCAAATAATCTACAGGCGTAACTCCTACAATCATGTCACCTACCAAATAATCTACAGGCGTAACACCTAGAACTCTATCACATTCCAAATAATTTACAGGCGTATCACCTTGAACTCTATCAAAGACCAAATAATCTACAGGCTTAACTCCTAGAACTCGATCACAGACCAAATAATCTACAGGTGTAACACCTAGAACTTTATCACAGACCAAATAAATTTTCAGGCGTATCACCTTGAACTTTATATCACAGACTAAATATTCTACAGGCGTAACTCCTAGAACTTTTTATCACATTCCAAATCTACAGGCGTATCACCTTGAACTTTATCACAGACTAAGTAATCTACAGGCGTGGCTCCTAGAACTCTATCACAGACCAAATAATCTACAGGCGTATCACCTTGAACTTTATCACACACCAAATAATCTACAGGCGTAACACCTAGAACTCTATCACAGACCAAATAATCTACAGGCGTAACACCTAGAACTCTATCACAGACCAAATAATCTACAGGCATAACTCCTAGAATTGTCATAGATCACTCAGTCTTTGCTAGTTATTAATTAAATACATAGATTATGTACATCACCATACATACAAATTAGATTGTTGCATCTTTATTATTTACAGAAAATAATTCCACCGTGTCCTGTTTCTTTTACACACGAACGCACGCGCACACACACACATTGTTTGCTTTTTAAAGCTGGGAGCCCAGAGTTGATGAGTGGTCTAAAGAGCTTACATTTACGGATCATTGCTATCTCGCCTCTGTAAGCGTGGGTTCGAGTCTCTTGTTCAGCCTCGTAGGTCAGTGTTTCTCTCCGGGCTTTTCCTTGGTTCTCCTCTATCATTTATACTGGCCGCCATGTATGAACTATCTTGTGCTGAAAAATTGGCTTTAAAAACCTGCAACAAAACTCCAAAGTTTGGTTGATGTGAGGCATTTGATATTTAATCTTCAGGTGACAAATTTCAAACGAAATGGAATATATCTGAGACTAAATAATAAAAAACGAACGGACGGAAAAAATCTCGTTGTTTTGCAGGTTGTCAGTTTCAAAATTTAATTTTCATGAAAAGCTATATTCTATCCATTTCATATCTTGAAAACGTCTATTATCCCAAAAGAGTACTTTATAGATGAATAAGTTGTATTTGAAATGCAGTAAATTTGGAAATAAGGAAGAAATTTCATTGCCGTCTAATATAAAAAAAATCTTAGAAGGGAATTGATTGACAATTGTATCGTGATATGTAACTCACAACATCTCATAACGTCAACTTGAAAGGAGTTTTGAGATAATCCAACATCTTATAACGTCTAAATGAAACTCGAAATAGAGATAATCTACAAACTTTATAATGGTTTCTTGAAAGGAGAATAGAAATAATCCGCAACATAGGAAAGTCAGCTTTAAATTCAAATCCACGTAATTTTGTTACGTAGAGGATTCCTTACGATTTAGAAATTAAATTTTCTCAGTCAGACGAAACGCTTTTATAGAAGAGATGCTAAACATATCTTTATCATTTTAAACTGCATTCAGGCTGAACATGAAACGGAACAAAAACAATTAAAAACGATTCCCAAGATTTCAAGAATATTTTATTGTTGCTTAAATTGGATAAAAACATTACTCGGTATTTAATGAAATGGAAACTGCATGTTTGTTAATAGAACGATAGCGAAACATGGCTGGAAAAATATTAATTTAATGCTCATTTATTAATAACGAATTGCTACGACTTCCATCAAGCTGTGTTTATCAAGTTTCGCGTGGTGAATTCTCTCTCTCTCTCTCTCTCTCTCTCTCTCTCTCTCTCTCTCTCTCTCTCTCTCTCTCTCTCTCTCTCTCTCTCTCTCTCTCTCTCTCTCTATCTCTTAGATGTACTAAATGTTCCTGCTGTAGGAGATTTTTAATCAACACAATTTGTAATTTGGATAATAATTTAAAAATTCTTCCTGTGTGCAAAGCTTTAGGGGACAAATGTATTTCGAATCATACACGGGAAGTTAGGATGCTAAAGAATACGGTTACGTGGCCAAGTTTGGTTCAATAATAACCAAAGCGATTTTACGCTTTCCATTATAAACTTTCGATCTATCCAGTAATTCTATATTGTGCGATTGCTACACTTGACTGGCAAGTTTACCATACTTCCATATTTTCTAATGACGTAAACAATTATTCGTAACTATAAATTGCTCTCTAACAACCCATTAATTTAATAAGAATATTATTTAACAGGTTTACGTTTGCATGAATGTTTACTTATACACGTGGAGGTAGATCACCTTCATAAGATAAAGGAATAGGACGATTCGCACGAAATAATTTTCGTCACTGTAAGTACTAGGATGTTGACAGCCATTGCCGTTGACTTCTTTATCTCTACTCACTTTTACTCAAGTAGGAAAGTGAGGATGCTTCATGGTTGTTACAAAATGAATGCATTTAATCCCCCCTTTTGCGGGGATATTTCAAACAGAGGTATATTGCTGCTGAAAAGCTTTCGCTGTCTTTGCTTTAATTATATATACATCCCACCCCATTTTCTCTCTCTCTCTCTCTCTCTCTCTCTCTCTCTCTCTCTCTCTCTCTCTCTCTCTCTCTCTCTCTCTCTCTCTCTCTCTCTACACACACACACACATACACGCACATACAGACACACACATAACACTCTGGTGCGCCTTTTTTCGACTACTCGCGATTGATTAAAGCTATTTTAAATGTATAAATTCGATATTGATTATCACCCCAAAAATATTTTCGATGTATATGCTCACCTGAGAATTCTTCACCACAAAGATATAACCTAGATTTTTTTGTCTCCATTCTCTTCGAGATCTGCAATAATTTCAGATCGAGCAAAATCATTGGGAACAATTTCGTCTCAAAAAGAGACACCAATGAGTTAAATCTGTCAATGTAATTTGGTAGCAGGCATTATTTTCGTGTAACCGTCCACACAACCCATAGCTTTACATACGTTACAGTAGGAACAACTAACTCT